AGCAGTTTGTTACTTCTCATCTTGGAACTCCTCAATCTTTTGCTCAGTTTCTGTTATTCTGAGGTTCAGAGCTTCTATTGACCTTTTATATCACCTCCTATTTCTTTATCTCTGTGAGTAGTAGTTTTTTAAATTTAAGCTGTCATACTTTCTTGGGGCTGGAGTGATAGCAGAGCGGGTAGGGCGTTTGCCTTGCAAGCGACCAACACAGCTGACCCGAGTTCAATTCCTCTGCCCCTCTCGGAGAGCCCAGCAAGCTACTGAGAGTTTCTCGCCCGCATGGCAAAGCCTGGCAAGCCACTCATGACGTATTCAATATGCCAACCACAGTAACAACTGTCACAATGGAGACTTTACTGGGCCCACTTGAGCAAATCGATGAACAACGGGAGGACAGTAACAGTGACAGTGATCATACTTTCTTGTGCTTTGTACCCATGGCTACACCTTTTCTTTGAACTAATTGAATATCTTCATCAAAATATCTCTAAAGACACTGGCTGAATATTTATTGGTGAGATTTATGTCTTTGGTAACACTGGTTTTGCTTATTAAGATTTGTAGATTTCGATGGGTTTTTCTCATTGGTTTTCTAGTGTTCTTGTTGTGATGGGGGTAAGTCTTTTTAGTTAACCCTCTGAAAGATGCTGAGGGATTAAGCAACCCGTTGGTCTCCTTCTTCTCTGCTCATCCTAAGGGACTGTCAAGAAAAATAACTGTGAGTAGCATGTATTGTGTTGAGTAAATCTGTTTGGTAGTTGTATAAGAAACCTTTTGTTACAGGAACTGTCTGTGGTGTGGACCCTTAATATGGTTCAGTTCAAGTGTGGAGGCTGCAGGGACCAAACCAGTAGGGAGGTACTCTGCCTCCTGTTCTAGTTCTGCCTCCCTTTCTGAATCAGCCTAGTGATAATCAGCCAGAGACGGTGCTCAACCTGAAATGGTGAAGGATCAAATAGAAGGTTGAGTGCCTGATTTTTATTAGGAACAAATTAGTAATAATCATTATGGCAATTATATCAGAATTGTTCTGCGGATTGGGCAAATAAATATAGGTAAATCACTTAAAATATTGGGTAACAATTATAATGAAGAAAAATAGTATTCTGTTTTTATAATAATGGTGGCAGTGATTATCTTGACATGTTCATAACATATACCAAGAGTTCAAAGGTTAAGCAAAACTTTTTAGTTAGAAAATGGAGGGGCTTTGGGGTACTTGAGGGAGGAATATAGATACACTGGTGATAGCTGTGGTGTTGAAATTATGTGCATAGGAAGCCACTAATTAGAGTATTGTAAATGACAGAACCTCATAAACTAAAAAATAAAATTAAAAATAAATTTAATGTTTATTTCTTTTTTCTGCCTGCCAAATCCAATTTATCATGATAGCAATTTGCTACTATCTTATTTTGTTCAGTTACTGAAAATAAAATCCAAGTTACTTGAGAAATAGCCTAGAGAATATAATACTACAGAATGAAGAATGACTTAAAAGTCTCCAAAAACCTGTGCTATAAAATTTTTCTTTACCCTTTTACTATGAAAGTGGTTTGGAACTTCATCACGCGATTCCTTGCTCCCTTGAATGCAAAAAATACTATATTAAAACTTACCTAAAGAAAATAGAGATTGTAGAATGCAGGATCTCACATTTATTTGTTTTCTGAAAAGCTTTAAGATTTCTACTAATTGATGCAAAGTCAATAGTTAAATAGGTTCCCTTCCAAATCCACTGCCCAGGTATATACAGGCACTGTATTCATTTAGAGAATATGGGAGTAACCAAAACTGTTAGCTAGACTCTAAACCACAGTCATATTTAAAATCCTTTGGTGACTGTTTCTAAGGAAATTATATAGTTGAGTCCCTGGCACTTGCAGTGAATTCACCCAGTCATTTAATATTATTGGCAGAAATAAAAATAAATACTTTGGTTTTGGAGTGTGAATGTCCTACGCAATTGCAATTGACTGTTCTTATTCAAGTGTGTAAATTCTCAGTTGGAAGTTAATTATATTTCAGTTACCTTCTTTCAAAAAGATAAAAAGAAATATACACTCTGCTAGGTAGTTCTGAATTCACTCATTATCTGTGTTTTTATATGTTTTTAATGTCCATAGAAAAGACATCATCAATTCAGTGAGGATTTTTAAAATTCTTTATTTTTTTATTGGGGGCCACCCTCGGAGGTACTCAGAGATTACTCTTGGCTCTTTACTCAGGAATCACTCCTACCTCCTAACAGTGCTGGATGTGGGGATTGGGATTGAACCAGTGTCCACTGTGACCAATGCAAGCATGTTAAACCCTGTATTATCCCATGTTTATCATTAGTGAAGACTTCTTAGAAGAATTTTTTGATTAAGCCTTGTGGTAACAGACTGGCTGTTAGGAGAACTCCTGGGGAAACTTTCATTTTCCCTGTTTCTACCTTACAAATATTACAGTAAGCAAAGCCAGAAGTTTGAAGAGAGAAGCAAGGTGAGAATTAAAGGGAACATTTTTTCATATGTTAAGCCTTTCTTCTAAAATAATGCTTAATGTGAACACGTTTATAAGATAAAATCGCACATGGTTGAAGAAGAAAAGTTTAAAAAATATTGCTTTGGTTAGACAAGAGAAAAGGTCAAAGAGAGAAGTTTTTGTGAGCACTGCTAATATTTATTTTGGATTAAGCAGATATTGGCAACTCTGAGAAAATATGGAGTGCCTCCTCCACCTTCTCCAAAGTTGATTTTGCTTGCTTTTCCTGAGCTATTCAATCTTGGAATTTGTTGCCATGACATTGTCAATGAAGGACTGCTGACTTTTCCTCTTATGGGCCGTTGATGGGTTTAAACTAGTTCTGACTCTTGTTTTGGGGATGTTTTGGACCACATCCTGGTTGTTTATTTTAAAAATTCATGTAACCCCCACCCTAATCCCTACCTGCATGATGACCTTTGAGGCTTCTTTTGTGATATCAATCTGAATGGTACTGCTTGTGCATATTAGTGAGAACTAAAGGCTGGTGAATTGAAAGACAGGGTTGAAAGACACAATCATCAACCCAAATGATTGTGAAAGAATTATTCTGCATTTGGTCATTTGTGTGTGGCCACCTGGAAACCTTTTTCTTCATATTTCCTTGGCTTATTTAAATACTAAAATAAGCCATGAAGTTCCAAATAAAATGCCACCTGGTCTGAGAAGTTTTCCTGGACCTGTCGAAAAGAATTATTCTCCATCTTCTGATCCATTATAGAACAATATTCATAAGTCACAATAGAATTTAAAAAACTGCCTTTGACATATCACTGCTTCATGTGTTGCGTATCCCCACCTAGACTTTGAGGAATTTATGGCTATAGCTTCCTCTTGTACATTGACAAACCATCCAAGAACTGGTCAATTCAGACTTGAGGATGAATGACCACTTGTGACACAGAGCCAATGTCAGCAACTAACAGAAATAGATATCTAAGATAAGTAGCAGAACGGAAAGAATGGAGACTGGTGTTCTGGGTAAGAAGCAAAGCAACAAAAATGTGCTTTTAAGAATCTGTTATAAGTCGGGGCTGGAGAGATAGCACAGTGGGTAGGGCGTTTGCCTTGCATGCAGCTGACCCAGGTTTGATTCCCAGCATCCCATATGGTCCCCTGAGCACCGCCAGTAGTAACTCCTGAGTGCAGAGCCAGGAGTAACCCCTGTGCATCGCCAGGTGTTATCCAAAAAGCAAAAAAAGAAAAAAAGAATCTGTTACAAGTAATTAGGTAAAGAAAAGCTTTATAATAACATGTTTTAATATTGGTGAGATGTGATACAGAAGAACCGAAGAAATAAGAAGAATATATGAATGTGAAGTATGTTATTTTGGAGGTACTTTATTTTGGAGGTACTTTAATTACAGCAGTCAGAAGACATATTAAGCTTGCAGAGGATCACCCAATTTTCCAAGATCACTAAAGAAGGCACCTTATCAACAATCCAAGAGTTTATTCCAGAGAAGTGGAAGTGAATTCTGTTGGTGGGAATGTTACCAGTGGATGCACATAGAGAAGGATGGGAATGGAAATAGTGGAAGAGAAGGACTAGCAATGGAGTTACAGATAGATAAATGAATTTCTGCAACAAATTTATGCCAGAGCCAGAGAGGAAAGGAGAAAAAATATAAGGAGAAAAACAGCAGTATGGATATCTAAAGCAGACAACCTATTGGAAAAGAACTTTCATGGGAAAAAGAAGGTATACAGCTAGGAATAACTTTCCATTGTCTACCGATATCTTCTGTGCTATTTAGTTTGAACTTTTGCAAAATTCTGAAAATTTTATGATAATTAGAATTCCTGCCAACAATTTGTTTAAGTGAGAAATAGATCTTCCCTTTGCCACAAAGCATATGGTTTGAGGGTATTAGAACTCTGGTAGCACTCACCCTTACCTACCCTACACATTTCCTTCCATCTGAGGGCACTTTACTGGCATAAGTGATTATACAAATGCATTTCATTATTTTTTGTGGTGGTGGAGCATTTAATTTTGCATATTTTAATAATATTGTTTTTATAGTATCCCTCACTTATGTCTTTCCCCACCCACTAATTAGTATCAATATTGTAATCATTTCAAACAAGTTGGAGCAAACAGAAACTTATAATCGAAATACTCTTCCCAGTTTGGATTTTATGTCTTTTTCATTAAAATTGTAGTGAGGTAGCAGTCCTGCAGCAAATGCAGACACGAAGGCTCTCTCTATGGATTAATTGGTCGGGAAAGACCTTTTTGTATGTCAAGTGACACTTAAGCAGCTAATTCTGGACTGTGAAAACTGCTTTTCCCTGGCAATGCTGTCTTTAAGGAAAAACTTCAGTTCAGCGATTGGTGACTAAGGGAACGATGGAACTCAGGGGATTGGGCGGGATCTGGGCTCCTATTAATGCCTTCTTATCCAATGAAAAACATTTCCTACTGAGACCCCCAAGAGTTCCCCCAGTCCTGGCTGCAGAACGGACTTTGGGCCTTTTCTTGTGTCCTGTTTGTTAAAGGCATGCAGGCTACAGCCTTCAAGAGGGCCATTACTTAACAAAGGGAAAGAGATAAATGTGAAAAAGCTGAGATTTTCAGAATGAGCAGTTTGCTGTAAGAAACCGTAGCAGCCCAGAGTCTGCTGCTTTGGGCTGAGCTAACCTTTCCCCGTAAAAAGAAGAAGAATGGATTAAAAGTGCGAATTATCCTTTTACAAGTTTTGCTAACTAATAGTCTACAGGCATGAGCACACTTTCGCAGTCTAGCACACTCATTCTTGTGGTAAGTCTCTTTGAGAATGATTTTATTTGGGCGTTGGGGGTGGGGCAGGGCGGCGGAACGGAACAGTGGAAACACTGAAACTGCATGTCTTGAGAAAGAAATTATTAGACTTTCAACTCTGAAGGGCTGAACAGAGATTGTCCTTGAATGGCTAGAGAAAATAAAAAAACAAACAAACAACAGAAACAGACTGAAAAACAACAATAACAAAAAGAATTTCCTTTGTTTTCACAATAATATAGTTTCCCTGAAGAGACACGGGATTTTCAGGCCCTTTCTTCATGTAAACACAGCTTTCCTAAAGAGTTGTTTCAAAATCAAAGTGGAACAATTTATTATAAACTTTTGGCTAACTTTATATATCTTTGGTTTACAGTTGTGAGCTAATGTGGCTTTTATTATGTTAAGTTTTCTTCTAGTAAAACTAAATTAGAAATGCTTTTGATGCTTAATAGATTTATGGAGACTGAGATTTGCTATATCGAATGGTGATAAAATTGATTATAATGGAAGAAATAAATTTTAGTTAAAAATGAAATCTGGTGCATGTGAAACTTGTTTTTACAAGTAAAATTAATCACTGTTTTTCATGTAAATGCAAAATGCAACATATTTTAAAATCTTGTGTATTTATTCTTGATACATTAAATATTTTAGTAAGAATACCTTGGTGAGTTGATAAGTCCTCTTTTCCAATTACTCTTTTAGAGAACATATGCAATTTATCATTAGTTTAGTGTGGGAAAAAACAGATAATTCCAAATGTTGAAACACTTATGAGGTTAGTGGAATTATTCACTTTCTTATCTTACAAATTAAACAAAATATCCTTTTTCTTGACGGACATGAAGGCAAAAACAATAAACTAAGCTCAAAATTTTCTAGTGCTTTGAAATATATAGATCTTTCAGATCAGACCCCCCAAATAGTATAGCTTATAGAGAAAATCCCTTTACTTGGTATTTAGCTTTTCACAAATGAAAAGCTGTGCTCCTATTAAAGAAAGATTAGTTCAGATAATAAACTTGATATTGTCTATTCTCTGAAGGATTTCCTGACAATCAGAAATGGCATTGAAAATCTTGTTGAAACATTCATATCGGCCTTTCAGAATGTGTACTATGTACATTATAGAGAGGTTTGGGAGTATGCCTCACAACATTCAGGCCAAGGAAGCATAGTTACAATTTCATCAATGCAATTGTCTTTGAGAGAAAATGCAATGAGAATTTTTCCCTTGCTGTGGTGTGCTGTGAGGGCCTAATTGTTTCCCTGTCTTTATTCTGTGTATATGATTAGCATACATAGGCTGTTCTGTATATTATTAAGAAGGTTACAAAACAGTTTTAATAATAGTGCTAAAATTTGGGGGCTCAGTAAGAAGTCACCCACTACTGGGAATCTATCTTTATATTTTATAGGCCAGTAAATCGAATCAAAATTGATGCTTAGGTGATTTAGTAATCTGATTCAATAAGTTATACTCTGAAATATTTTGATAACCTTATTTTTTTAGAAGACAAGTAAATGGGGAACAGGTAGAAAAGTTCTAACACAGATACCTATAAAATTAGAGGCTATATGCCTGCTGATGTGAGCATAATGGCAGGCGATGGAAAGATTTTAGAAAGACTTTAGGATATAAATTTCATCTTTATTTGTGATTCTTAGCTACTGGAATGAGATGATATTTACTTTGGGTAGAATACAAGCATGACAATAATTTTGTTAAATCTAATAACATGAATTTCATAAGTCTCAGATTTTGATGGACTTAAATTTCTTCTCTATTTGATGACAAATGGAAACAGGGGAAACAAATGACAAGAGGGAGCAACCAAGGAGGCCACTAGGATAGTACCAGTTTAAGGCTGTTGTCAGTCAAGGCCAAAGGTGGAAATAGAAGAATTAAAAGTGAGGTTGAGAAAAGGACTATGATCTTCCCTCACACAGGTAGTTATCACACTGTATGTGACTATACTGGTGTTTAAAAATAATTTTTCTGGATATTTGAATTTCTTAATTCTTCTAAATTCAAAATATAGAGTAATTTTCTTAATAATCTGTATCAATTGTGAAAGTTATAAAGGAAATAATTCTTAATGCTCATAGGATGATTAATACAAAATAATGAAATAATGCACAATTCATTCCGGGAATGCTGTTCTCTGATAAAGTGTGAAAAACAGTTTTCCTTAATACTATCTCAAATATATTTGAAATATTTTCTAATAATTTTATTATTAGATTTTATTCTCTTAGATTACAGAAAACTTTTGTTAGGAAATTGTATTTTAATACTATAGAATTGGATTTTAATACTACTGAAATTATACTATATATTAAACAATACTATATATTGTTTAGGCTACTTTTGTTAAAATGAGTGTTAGATGTGATAGAAATGTAAGTTTGATGTGTGCAGATGATTATGCTTTACAGGCAGTAGATTGAGTAGGGTTCAAATGTAAATACTTATTAGTAAGAATTCCAATGTAGAGTATTTCTATTTCTATATAAGTATTTAGTGTAGCATTGGGCTTAAAAGATGTCTCAAACTCGATATATTAGATATGCCTATGACATCCTAATAGATATAACAAATTATCAGTGTATTAGTATAAAGTAATTCAAGTCTTGCTCATGTAACTATTATTTGTGAGAAAAAGAAATTGGGGTATAATGGAACTACAGGGCCAAGATAAAGCCACCTATTATTCTAGTCTTTCTTCCTCTACCTTTATGAATGTATAAGTTATTTGGAGGGAGATAAAGAAGAAAAACATTGTAAAAGGATCTATAGTGCTTCAGATCCCCAAATAAATTCTCTTTGTTAAATTATTTTTAACATATTACTTTTTGTAATTTTGAAATATTTTTCTGCCTTTAGTCACCAATGATCTTTAAATAAATGGCTATAAGATTCATGGATTCATAAAACTTACACTTGTCAATATAGCTAATAAAATATGTCAGAAGAGAAAGTTTTGGAAAGTAAAGTTTGTCTTCAGTTCTTCAATAATTCCCTCCCTATTTATGGTAGTATTGTGATTACATAATACTATTATAATACTGTTCAAGATATTTCCATACATACATTGTTTCAACAACAACCAGCACCAGAATACTTTTTTCTCCACCAATGTCTCAAAGGCCCCTCCAAACTCCTCCAGATAAGCTCAGTTCTATGGATCAGTCTCCAATTCTGTTGCCCTTGTTCATTTGTTGCTTACTTACTGTGTTTCTTTATATTCCACATCTGAGAAAGATCAATCTATATCAATCCCTCTCCTGACTTCACTTAGCATGATGATTTCTAGTTAAAAATGATGGAATCTATATAATTTTAGATACCATTTAAAATATTAGTTCGCTTTTCCATTGCTTTATGTCATATTATAAATGTATTTACCCTAAGATCTTAGATATACTTTATTAAAACGTTCTCTTTAAGGCATACGTGAAATTAATTACACTTCACAACATTTATGGAGTAAATAATAACAGTACTTATAGAAAGCTCAATAACTACCTGTCTTAGATAAAACTGGCATCTAAATTTGTTTTCAAGTAATGTATGCAGAACTCTCATAGTAATAGTTTTCTTTAACTTTCTTCATGTTCATCTCAAACCTTTATGATAATTAATACCTCAAATTTATTACAGTTTATCAGATAAAATACCCAGAGTAGATGTAAGATTATATATTCTAAGTTTGGGGTGACAGGAAAGAGAAGAACTTAAAAATGCTTCTTGTAATTTGCCTATTCATGCCTTCTGCTTGAATGGTATTATCTCTAAATGATGTTATAAATATCCAAATGGCCCATGACAGAAAATAAGTTTTCTACCCCTTGTTTATTGTAATAAGGTTGATTTTAATGTAGCTAAACACCAAGGTTTTGGTTTAAGATCTTTGTAGAGCCTTTTAATTGAGAAAAGACATTTTTATTCATATAATTGGGATACAGGTCTAAGTTTACCAGATAAATTGGCGTTCAAATTGATAGCTGTTCTGCCTGTCCAAATATGTAGAATAAAACTAAATTTTGAATTGGTATGCATGAGTGTCCCCAAATTTCGAAATGTTCTCTTTTGGAAACACCCAAAAATTTTCCCCAAAAGGCTGGGGAATACATTTTTTCACTATCTCAAGATATGTCTCAAGACTCTAAACGATTTATTAACACCAGATAGAACAATTTTTCTGTAGTTGTTATAATCTAACCACATGGAAAAAATCTTCTTTAGCAGAGTTAATACTCTGCTAAATATTAGATCCAGTATGTCAATCACTAAAGCATATTATTTTCCAAAGATTTGAAAGTATCATCAAGTGAAACTGGATTTTTTTGGGTTAAAAATCAAGTTAATCTCTGTTGATATAATCTCAGATTAGGAACTGAGTCAATTATTTCCTGTTCTCAAAAATTGTGGGAGCTAGAAATGTCATTATAGTCTCATTGTGAACCTAAGAAATATGGAGAATTCATTTTAAAAAAAGTTTTTGGTCTATACCTGGCTGTGTTCAGGATGTCACTCCTGGTGATGCTCACAGGACCATATGTGGTGCTGGGGATCAAACCTGAGCTCACTACCTACAAGACGAACAACTTTCCTCCTGGCCCCAGAAAAGTCTAAGAATGATTTTTAGAGTGTATTTCTTGAACCAAACATAAAACACTATCAATCTAAATATTTGATATGTAACAAGTTTTACTTGCAATGAGACCTTATAACAATTTACCAGTTACATAGTGAAACATTTATGTTTCCTTAATACAAAATATTTATAAGGCTAGGTAGTGTTTTAAAAACTATTATGAATTTCTAACCAAGTAATAGGATCATGAGTATGATTGTGACCTGTACCTGTGACTTGGACAACACATTTTCTTTAAGGAGTCATGCTTTAGCAGTTATTCATATAAGAAGCAAAAGTTTGGACAAATCCTCTTTTATTCAATAGATTTGAGCAGTACTTTTAATAACATTTTGT